GGTATCGGTATTAAATAAAGAACTAACTATGAATACCGTTTTAGATCTTCAGCACTTTTGAAAAGTATTACAATTAGTATAAAAAAATCTGAGCAATTTTCTAGAAAGTTTGAAAATTATAATAGAAATTCTGAAAAATTCTAAAAAATTATAACTTAAAGAATTCTACGAAAATTTTCACCAGGAACACGCAAAATTTTTAGGAAATATTCAAAATATATATATACAAAAAAGAATTAATTTTATTTTGCAAACATATGTCATCGTACGGATAAAAACGTGCCTCGACAGTATCGACAATCTTCATCGTCGAGCGTTGTCGCCTGCAGTGTGCAGAGTGGTGGTAACAGCTGATTCGTTCTTCCTAACCTCGATCGCGCAGTTAAGCATGCACCAGTCGATTGTTTTCTTTTAAATCGGTGACATTCCGCGATTTTCACGTGTCAGTGAGGGTTGGCTATTGCGAGTACTAGCGAGTGCGATTGTCTTTGATCGAACTTAGGCCAGATTAAATCGGCAACAATGGTGAAAATCAACCAACGATGGAAGACTTCTGAGGATGTCAATTTCTTGCGTGGCACCAGCGGTTGTAAGAATCAAACGTAATTTATTTGAAAACGCATAGAATACAATATCGTAAGACGTTCGCTCATCGTTTCATTTCAGGGACGAAGATTAAATATTTCTGGCGCAGGGGATGGACAGAGATTCCGGTGATAATGGGATGTACATTTCTCTTTCTAGCAGGATCCGGTATGGGCGGATTTTCACTGTATTATGGCTTCACGCATGATTTAACTCCGAAATATCACAAAACGCCGAGAAGTAAGTAAAAACAAATTATACATTCTTACGAATCTACTCGGCTTTGCGATTGTTATGCAATCGTGAACGTCCGTCGATAAAATAGAATTGCTGAAAGCGACCTTTCATAATTAATTAACACTAATTGCGTTAATACTTCAGTTTACAGACCGGACGATCCGAAAGTTCAAAAGATCCGTTACACATCGAGCTTTGATTAAAAAATTATTATTTAATAAATTTTAGTAGCACAATACGAGTGGTAGACAGTTATTATATATCCTTCCATTATATATATATATAGATTTATGTTTTGAATAAATGTGTAAAATATTGTTATATAAATCAGTCCCCTTTCCTTATACTAACTCTATTTTCATTCGATGGTTTCGTAAGATCGCGAATAAAATTTATATAACGTGAATATATATATATACATATATAATACACATACACATACACACACACACATATATATATAAAACATTTTATGTATTTTAATTTTCCAAAGACGTTATATAATTTTTTTGTAACGTTTTCTGAAATATCTACGGTCGCTTCACGAATATATTGAACATATAATCAAGGTTATAGATCCTGAATAATCGTAAAATTTTCTCGTAACGATATACTAAAAATGAAACGATTGACGTTTGATAGTGGTTGAAGATACAACGATCGTTTTATATTCTCAACGTCGAGGCATTATTGGATCTCTTGATCTTTAGAAATCCTGAAAGCGCGTATGTTATATGTGGCTACACGTAACAATCTTATATGTGGCTACACGTAACAATCATATTCGTGAAGAATTTTTGTATGATTCATCACGTGACGCAGTTATGATTATCGTAAAATGGGCTAACTTTGGTTATCCCAAATTGGGGTGACTCTGGCAAAATTTTTATAATGCTCACGCACAAAAAATATTCTATTACTAACAAAATGATTAGCTTATTTTTTTCTTTTAAATAGATAGCAGTTATTTTTAACAAAAAATTTTCTTGATAATAGTCTTAAGATATACATATTTATTACAAATTTTAAGAACTCATTATCATGTATTCAAAACAAAAATTTATTTTTTTAAAGAATATTACAAAATTCAATAAAAGGAGGTACTTTATATATAATATAATAAATAAATCGAATTTATTTTATTTATTATAATAATCTTGAGTATTAAACTTATTAGGATTCAGAATATATTTTGAATAAAAATATTTGTGAATTTAGGACAGATTCGCGGATATAGAAATTTTTGAAATATTTCAAACGAGTAATTAATCTTTTGAGCTTTTTAACTTATAGAAGATCTTGCTTCCTAAAAGTTTTTAGGGCGGTGAATTCAAATCCAGTCTTTATAGAATTCTAAATTAAAATTTGAAAAAATTATCCAAGTTTGAATGTAGCCTCAAAATATTGAATTTCAAAAGGGTAGTAACTTGTACGAAGGGAGGATCTAGTTTCACATGGTTCATAATCAAAGTTTGAAAGTCAATTTGGAAATGAGTACCTACTACATTTACTAACTGTTTACGTAGCACTGATGAGTTTCAAATAAAGTGAAACCGGCAACTTGATACGTATATTATACACACACACACACACACATATATATTGTATATGTATATACTCGTATGTTATATATATTTTGTAATTAAAAACGTATATAACTGAGCTTTATGATAATAAATTATTTCTTTTAAATTCTGTCTATAATATTGAATCTATTATTGTTTATTTTTTACTTTTTACCTGAGATTTGAATAGAGTATTATCAAATTTCAGCAAATTTGAGCGAGCAGTTCATAAAATATTAAAAAGAAGGTGACCCCATAAAAGTCGTGAGACCGTTGCCGGTCCCCACAAAGAGTTAATATTTAAATACAATATGTATTTTTCTGTGTGCAAACAGCACGCATGTCAAATTCAAAACATAAGACATCTTGAAACATCTTTAAAATTTTGGACATGTGTGCTCTAGACATATTTTAAATTAAATTTTTTGATTAAAGTTGTTCTGACTGAATCAAAGTTCATTTTACGATATTTATTGTTAGCTGTATCGCGAGAAACAACTTTATTTTTACGATTCCACTTGAAAGCTTCACAGAAAAATCTGAAGAACATTTCAATCATTCGTACGTTCTTTGAAAAAGCTTTTCGAACGTCTTTTATATTTTCGCGCTATATTGTCGTAGATTTTATTTTTGGAGCTGTGAAAGGACTTTCCTTGTCTGCGCCAAGTCACTCGCACTTATGCTTTGTTTCGCGTCCCTTCGATATTTATTCGAATTCGATTCTATCCTCATTTTTTAGCATTAAATTTCCTGCTCACTGTTCCGCAACACAGGTGAATCCTTCGCGTGTCGTGTCGAAGGATTACACAGCGTAAAAACGAAGACTTTTTATCTTGCATCATATAATTCTCTTTATGTTTATCTTCTTTAATATTCTTCGTTTAAACTGTTCACGGCAAAATATTCATTATATCAATATATCTTAGCCATCCTAAGAAACGTGAACGTACAATTTTGACGAAAGTTGTTTCTTAATTAAAAAAACTTTTATTTCCGTTTCGTTTAAAGTTGATATGCCAACATGGCAAAAATATTAGATTTTAATGTGTTGATAAAAAAATGATACATCGCAAAATTAGCAATTTTAGTAGAGTATTTTTAAAATTCTTTCTGATTGGAACAACGTTTTAAATAGGATAGCACATATAACTTCACTATTTTCTTATACTTTCAATTATCGAATCGAATTCAAAAGATCGTCATAGAAATGAAAAAGTTTTCATTTCTGCTTACGAATTTTATTTTAAAAGCCGAGAGGACAGCTGAAATATTGTCCCACAGATTATATGATTTCATTTGATTTCATCTGATTATAAATAATTTTCTACATATGAAGTCATTTGATTTCATCTGATTACAAATAATTTTCTACATATGAAGTCATTTGGTAAAATAAAAAGATTTTATTTAATATTGTACAATGATTTCTCGTAGTTGCATATGCAATTATCGGATTATACATAGGGATTTCATATAAATTTTACAATGATTTTGAGGACTCTGTCCCACGATTACATTAAGTGATTACTCCTGTCGTTAAAAGCTTTAATCATCCTACGCTTTTATAACTTCGTTAAACCGTGCAATTCCGTGTTCGTGATTTCGGCGTAAAAACAACGGTGTGTAAAATGCCGATTAAGAATCCATTGTATAAGGGACACACGAAACTCCGATGATTTTCACGCATACAGGAAAGGAACGGACTCTCCTGCGTTATTCCTATGAGTTACGAGGGCGCAGGATCGCGCAATGCTGATGGTGCTTTTCCCTGTGTATTGCGTGTGTACGCTATTACAACCAGGCGGAGAACGACGGCGTAGCGTAGGGTTGTACGCGCCACGGGGGAGCGCGACGAGGAACGAGAGAACTCGCGCATGAAAGGGAGAGAGAGGTAGTAAAAAGGTGGGAGAGATGCTCGGTGGCGGAAGAAGAGAGAAGATGAGTGGAGAGAACGAGAGGGCCGATCGTGAGGGTGAGAGCAGCAGGGGGAAAACGGAGCACACGGTACGGAGCAACCCCCATTGCCTCGCCAGTGGTTCAGTCAGCGTTTAGCACCGGCGTCGCTTCGCTTCGCTCCACGCTCGGGATCACCATCGGATACGTCCTCGTGTACATCGTCGCGTGCCCCCCAGTTTGTCTCGAGAGATCAATGAGCCCGCGACACATCGGCAGCCACATCCGGGTCTCGTTCAAGTAAATCGCGCCCGTAAAGCCACTGTGACGGCAGAGAGCCGTGACGGGAGAAAGAGCTGGTTATACCGATAGTCAAACGTTGATAGTCGAAGCTGCTACTTGTCGCTGCAGCCAGGGATAAAGAAAGCAAGAGGGAGAGAAAGAGAGAGGAAAAAGGTGAAAAAAAGGGAGAGTGCGTCGCGAGAAGTGTTAGAGCGTGGACACGAGATCGAAAGAAGGAATCGAGGACCTGTACGGGTCCTTAACGTTCAGGACGGTGCATGTCTCGGACCCCGTTTCTCAGCTTTTCCTCCGGCAACGTTTCGTCTACGTTCCTGAGGTAAGTAGCAGATATGAATGATGAAGAAAACGCTAAAGTTTATGCTTCTTAATTGTAACCATATTATATTGTGATATAGGATTGTTTTGTTTTCGTAATTTGCCTTTGCGATTTTGTTTTGCAATAACAAAAGTCCTTTAATTAAAATTCAATCGGGAGTCACATTTTTGTTGCAAAATCTCAAACCTTGTAAGTTACAAGGAAATAAATTCTTCCAAAGATATATACACATATATATACATATATACTGCCAATTATTAATTATACCAATAATTTTAATTACCATTTACAAAAAATGACATTTTAAAAGAAATATTTGCTCATAATCGATATATGCGAAAAAAATTCATGAACTTTAATGTTTATGTCTACACCGATTGTTTGTCGATCTTTTCTTTAATTATTTTATCAAATAAATTTTTCTAATAATTTTGAGATTATTTTTTTATATGGAAATATAAATGACTTTTTTCATCATTTTCTTTCTCTTATTATTACAATAATATTCGGGAGAAAATACTACTTATTATGTGCGGTTGCATTTAAGATGGAAAAAGTAATGAAAAAATGTAGGCAATATGAAGAATTAACTCGTCAATGTAAATATCCTGATCATATCGCAATTAATCATGATTATTAGTGACTGTGATTGAGCATGCCCATAACGTGCTAAAACGTTCCGCTTTAACCTTCTTTCGAATATCGTATATCTGTTCAGTGATATATTGGCGATGAGAAATGTCTTGAAGGAAAAACCCTCAGTTCGTGATTTGATCTCCTATTTGCTCAATGTCCTGCCAGTCCGTCTGGCAATCCTTTCAAGCCCCCTCCCCAAGGTTTCGACTCTTTATACGACGTCTTAACCTCGTTGCTTCAAAGAAGAAACTTTTCGGGCATCTCATTGTTAAAATTGCAAAATCCCAAACCTTGTAAGTTACAAGGAAATAGATTTTTCCAAAAGTATAGTACAGTTATTGATTTTATTAATAATTTCAGTTAATACTTACAAAAATTGTATTCTACTCTTTATATGACGTCTTAATCTCGTTACTTCAAAGAAGAAACTTTTCGGGCATCTCATTGTTGAAATTGGAAAATCCCAAACCTTGTAAGTTACAAGATAATAGATTTTTCTAAAAGTATATTACAGTTATTAATTTCATTAATAACTTCAGTTAATACTTACAAAAATTTATGTTTTAAAAAAGATATTTACGCATAGTTGATATTAAATCATTTCTTCTATTATAGATAGAAGTATTTATCTTTGATCGCATAGATTTATTATACTTTTTTCTCACATTTGACATATGATGAATTAGGTTACATTAATCTCTTCACCTAGAACTTTGCTCATTTTTTTATATAAATGTGTGAAATTAATAGGTGACGCTACGTCGTTTTCTTTAAAAAAGGATATATATTCACGATTTACGATGACACTAAAGTCTCTCGTATTTTTTCTGCAATAAAACTTACAATAAAACTTGAATATTTTTTTATTTAGAGTAGCTTTTAATAGAATTTTAAAAAATAGGATTAAAGAATGATGAAGTTACGTGCACGGCATGGCGAATACAATTTCTGTATAGAAGGTAATAGGAAAGGCTGCTAATTGGTACTTCTCTGTAAATATCAGCGCAGTGTGTTTTTCGAATTTTACATTTCGCTACAAAACCGATTTAGCACAAAAAGAGAAAAAACAAAGATATCCACTTCGTGGTCGATCATAGATTTTCCGCTAAGCGGTTGAGAGATAATCCCTTAAAACTCTACGCACAGTATACATGCTTTCCACAAATAGCGCAAAGTCCACACGTATGCCGCTACTGCGCGACATTTTTTCTCCTTCGAGAAAAACGCGCGCTTTGAAAGAGTTAATAATTATGTGCTTGTGTGTAGCGTGGACATTATTGATTCGCGAGCCATAGGTCGTATCATACGCTTCGTAATAAACCATTAGGACACGTGCTCGTATTTGAAAACGTAATATTTCAGCATAGATTCGAAATATCGCAGGGACCGGAAGAATCGTAAAGCTGAAGCTTATGTTCGTATTTTTCAATAATCGATACATATTAGGTCGGTTTGCGAACGAAATTTTATACGTACGCCAAAACGGTCTTCCGACATAGATATAATTCGTAATCATACGGTTCTTTAGTTACGGGAGATGCCGACGTGATTATTTTCTTAAATAAAAGAAGGGCACATAATACGTAAGGGCAAATAAGAGTTGGAATTGTGCACGCAACTGATTGTGAGTAATTATAATGTAATTATATCATTAGTTTAAAATAAAAAGAGATTGATACAACCGGATGTTCCGATTCTTCTTTGAGTCATCCTCAGCGAAATATCGCGAAAGCCCGTGTCCTTATCACTGTAACTTTCGTTATAATATACAGGGTGTTTCCAAATTAAATGGCAAAACTTCGGGAGCGTGTAGAGGAGTAAAAAACTAAGAAAAAAAGTCCTATAGACATATGCTCGTTTTTGCTCCGTTTCAGAGAAATCGAAAAAAAATGTTTACATTTCTTGCCATATCTAGCACCGACATATTTGATTACATTTTCCACTTTCTGTTATGAATTTGTCAGTCGCTCTTTGAAAGCCTTTAACAGTAGATGAATTTTGTCTTTTGCAATATGCCGCGTACGTATTCTAATAGTGAATATGCTGATATGGTTTTTGTATACGGTTTCTGCAACGGTAATGCTTTAAAGGCGGTGCGAGAATATGCACGACGATTTCCAAACAGAAGAGTGCCAAACCGAAGAGTGTTTATGTTGACATTTAATAGATTGCGAGAGACTGGATCATTTTCAATTCGACAAGAAAACAACCGATTTCAAGCAGCGTTACGAAGAGATTTGCAGGCAGGGAATCGTATTTTACAACATTTTGACAATCAT